ATAAAATATTGACCTCACAGTGTTAATAACATTACTTTACTGATAAAATATTGACCTCACAGTGTTAATAACATTACTTCAACTAATAAAATATTGACCTCACAGTGTTAATAACATTAATTGACTGGTAGAATATTAATCTCACAGTGTTAATAACATTACTTGACTGGTAAAATATTGACCTCACAGTGTTAATAACATTACTTAACTGGTAAAATATTGAGCTCATAGTGATAATAACATTACTTGACTGGTTTATCTTACCTTTAGTTGTTTAACAAATCAGTATTTAGATAAACAGTCTTATAAACTGATAAACTCAGTAACTAATTTTATGAGCTTAAAATCTAAGGACTGATACACAAATAACTAATTTAAAAATTTACAAAGTTCCAAATCAAAATGACCAACTTAAAAAACAAAACAGTAAAAGGAACTTTAGAAATGGAAATTTCTATTTATTTTATGCCTAAATATAACTCCTATACACTATAAAGAATTTCAGTTTTAACCTTCAAGATATGGCTAGGTAATTTATTTGTATGCTTATGGATGGTTCAAAGTGTGCATGTCATAAACTTTTTACGGAATTACATTCAAAATTTAATAAAACAATTTTATTGTTAATGTTGTCAATAGACTTGGCATAAGAACATAGTTTATAATTAAAATTTCTATATTATTTATGTTTTAATTTTTAATTTCAAAAGGAAATATTTAAATCTATTCTCAATCTTCATTTCCCTGTCTTGTGACACATCTTAAGCTCTGAACTCTCCCATATATATATATTTTTTTCTTTTCATCCCTTTTATGTGTCCAACTATTTAGAAAGACAAACTATAGATAATAGTAGGCCAATATGTAAAATACAAACCTCCCATGTTCTTGATTTATTGAGAAATCAGTAAATTTGTCAAACCCACCAACAAAACACCTTGATCTTGTTGTAGCTTTAGTGGTGGTTTTTAACTCATGTGGTACTTATTAACTGATAAGTTTATAGCAAACAGAAAGATCAAAATTCAATGTACTGTCTCCTTAAATTAGTTTGCTTAGTTTTGGCAGTCAGACTTGGCAGTTTGCTATAAAAGCTTAATGTGTGTTGAGTAAAGTCATTGCTCCAAGCAGTAATGGAATTTGTTAACCTATTTATAGCTTAGACAGATAAATTAGAAAGTAGTTTTTGGGCTCTCTATTCTAGTACATGATATATCGTTTGTGTTCCAAGATGCATACTTGAAATCTACGTGAATTATGTTTTGGACAACCAATGTAGCAATCAAGTGGAAATGGCCTCAGTCCTAAATTTCTTGTTATTATGTATATTTCTATTTATTGTTATATATTTTATACCAAAAGTAACTAAACTGTAAAATTAGAAACTTAAATGAAAAAGTTAAAATAAATTACTGCATCACTCGATAGGGAAACTTGCACTATGTGGTTTGTAACCTGATTGTTTGTTTACACTATGCTTTAGACTTTAGAAAGCCTAAAATACACTGTAAAGCCAATAAAACCAAAATAAAGTCAATGTCCAAAGGTTAAAACCTGTCTGTTACAATCTGCTGTTGTTCTAGATAACAAAGAAAAAAAGGTATTTTTTGTTTCCATTTCATATTTTTCAACTTTTCATTTCACTGTACACTGATGTTTTTGCTACAAGTTAGTGTTAAGGTAGAGAAAACAAGATATAGTTTTACCAAAAAAAAAAACTTTTCAAATTTATTTAGGAGGTTTTATAGGTTGTGCATATGAAATACGACACTGTAAGATCAAAAAAGTATTTGTTTTTCTTAGCCTGAAAATCAATTTCCACTCTGTCTAACTTGATAAAGGCTTCTAATTTCATGGACAAATCTTTAGTAAAAATGCTTTACTAAAAAATTCAGATTTTTTGTGTATTATAGATTTGTTACTTTGACTAGAAGTTTACCAAATTTGGTGAAGGTATACTTAGTACATTCAGAATTATAGGATGTATAGTTTCATGGTTATACATTGATTACAAGGTTAGTGAAATGACAAAGCCAGTATGCATAGCATAAGTTGATTGTATTTGTAAACATGAAGTATTAAAAACTTCAAAATGAAGAAAAGATGTTTCAGTAAATCAAGTATTACCTACTTCAGCCACAATCTTTCACATACCTGTCTCTTTTAATTTTTTTGTACCCGAGGATGCACATAGGGCACTGTGAGGACATGTCAGTTACCTAAAGCTTGTAAAAAAGAAAAAAAGATTCAATATATTACATACTTTAGAATCCAAATAATTATTCAAATCATGAGAAAATATAAATTACTAACATAAACTAACTTTTTCATCCATGAAAATAATCAATCTCATCTATGTGCTACCTTAGGATGTAAAGGTCAAGTAGGTGCAATTTGTTGACAATATGTACAGCACACTGAGCTCAAAAGAGAGTCATACTTTTATTTCTAAAACTGAAAATATTTGGTTTAAGGATGTCATAGCAACGTAAATATAAATAATGAACACAAGTGGGGCTTGCCAAATCCCCATTACTGGGTCATCACTGTGGCCTAAAACATATGACCTGGCATTTGTGAAACTTACATAACAAATATGTTCTTTTTAGTATATAAAGTAACATTTATGATTTAAATAAATATTATAGAAAAGACTGATACAGTATTTTTATTTCCTTTAAATATTAAAATAATGAAAGGAAGTCCAAAATGACATAATTCAGCAAACACTTTCACCTTTCCGATATACAAATGTCAGCAAGCAGGCTCTTGGTTGCTGAGACACAGGTGAAATGGTTAGCAATGAAGCTTTTGTATGCTTTATGTAATTCTAAGTTGATAGTAAAAGTTGCACAAATGAGTCACTTTCAGAGCACTGTCACCTTAAAAACATTGTAAGCATTAAATCGAGGGGGGGTGGAAAACTAAGTCTTATCTAAATGGATTACTTAAACAAAATTTAATCAAAAATCCTTTTGAACAAGGTGGAGATGACAAGGGTTAAGCTATTATCCTGGCTCCAAGGATGTGCTGATGACTCCTGAATGTCGAAAATATTTGGCTCATATGATTCCTTCTTCCCACATAACATGAATACTTGTATATATATTAATGTCCCAAAACTGTTCAAAGTGGATGAGTATTTTCAAACTTGATATCAATTCACAAAAGAAGCAAAAGCTTTGCATGAACTTTTAATTCGAGTAATTAAAATTATCCATTCAAATTAATTCACTCTGATGATACCAAAAAAGCAGTGAAATTTTGGCACACCTACAGTATTTGTCCATGATGCTAGAGAGAAACGTGGACTAGCAACATTGCCCACAAAATCTACAAACTGTGTTTCGCTGAGGACTCTTAGTCATAAATTCTCACATTTTCAAAACCAAATTCAGCTAATAAAGAAATACAAAAATGGTTTACTATCATTATCATCGACACATTCATATACTGAATGAATAGTAACTAAACCTACCGTTTGTTATATCAGTGGTGCTTCTCTTTCTAATGAAATTAATATTTTACCTAATAAGTCATCATAACAAAAAGACACATTGTCTGTAAACACAGAATATGGAAGTACTGTGGGGAAAAAATTGACTACTATGCAAAACACGATTCATGTTACATTACCAGGAATCAAGTTAAATTTAGTAATAAAGAATTAACTGAAATAAATCATTCCTTCCATTATATTGCTTATTAAGTCTCAAGGTATGTAAGTAAATAATTAACGAACATGGTTATTATAATTAATTAAACATATAATTTAGAATAATGGAAATGTTTCCTCAACACCATTTCACTTCAGGAAAAATTGAATTTAAGTATTTACATGAAGGTTAAAATTATAAAACGAAATAAAAGATTCATGTAACATCTATACAACTGTAACTTTTATTCTATTTTTGTCTTACTTTGAAAGCAATCAATATTCTACATGATAATCAAGTTTAAAATCTAAACATTATCCTATGACTAATGCTTTCTCTTTTACTAATCTAAACATCATGTTGAATTCGGACTAGCTTCAAATTTTCTATGATTCAAGAATAGTAATTCAAGGCAGACAAAAATTAATTTTATTTTCCACAAGGTGCACATTATTCGGTTCAGAGCATTCCTTTAAACCTTCATGTTTAAAAACCTTTCATACCAGTAATCATTTTTCATTGCTATTACTAGTATACTGTTATTACGTCATCATTTTTTATTATCATGTCTCTTTGACTTGAAATTACCAATTCCTAAAGGATCAAAAATAGCAGAGCTCATGACACTTAATGGTCAAGTTTTAAACTGTCCAGCAATTGTCCGTTCCAGGTGACATTTGTATCTCATACATAAACTTGTCATTATATGTATATTAATGTGAGAACTTGGTAAAATACTATATTATTTACCTTTACCAATTTTAATGTGCAAAGCCTTTAGACAATGGCTTTGCACAAGAAAATACCCTATAAGATAGTTTTCTTTTCATGATGCACATCAATAATGAGAACATAAAAGTGTAGATATGTCTTGTAAATGTACGTGATTAGTTACAGACATTTATTTATAATGGCTCAGAAGAGGTTTTTTAATTTTATTGTTTGACAGGGAATAATTAGTTCTTTATTGATTTGCACTCTGAAATCCAAATCAACTGTATTTATAATTCAATGGGAGATTTTTTTCATTATCTGTAACTTGTATGATTCTCTTTGTACAGTTTATAAAGATAAGTACTGTTCAGTTTGATGATAATATTGCTGGATAAAAAATATTTTTTAAAGAGTTAAGCATAAACTAATGTCTTTTATATTTTTTAAAACAAGATCCAATTTCTATTTTAGAAGATAAAGGTATATTTTGGATTGAAAATTGATTACATGATTAGGACTAATGAGGAAAAGCAGTTTACGTTAGCACTTTTAAAGTTAAGGATTCCCAAAAAATTAAATATATGTTTTCCAGAAAATAAACAGCTACTTAAGCATTTTTCTCAAGATTCAAGGAATTTGGTGCATTTTTCTTTTTCTTTCTGGACTTCGCATACTTGAGACAGTGTGTTAGCTACATGCTGGTGCAATGCTATGCAAAATTTTTCAAACAAATTATCCCCTATATGGTATTACTTTATTACTCTGAGTTAACCATAGTTTATATTATAATATAATATACATGTACTATAAAATCCATCTAGCTTGATAGAAAGGGTTCAGCCAGAGGAGAGTGTTCATGAAAAGCATTGTTAATGTACTGCATCTGTCTAGGAAATTTTTGGACAATGTTTCAAGCTGCTAGTGACCTGGTGAAGGCCTACACTAGCAGTTCATTAACAATGCCTTTAAAATAACATCCATCTATTGCTAATTGTACTCTTCTTGGTTAAACATTAGGCTTTGCATTACAAATTGTTGTCCAAAATGAGATTTATGATACAATCTTTGACATTCCAGTTAAACCTAAATAAAAATTAGCCATTAAAGTGAAAAACATAAACTTCATTGTAAATTTAGAAGTCATCATCTCCACATGTCATTTAAAAGAATATGAATAAAAAAATAAATTCTAAGCATCAGCCCAATGTAACGACTATGATTGCATGAACAAAGCTCTTATAATGTGTATACAATTCACTTAAGTTAACTAAATGCTGATATATATATTCCCATTTTTAATTTAGTTGAAACCTGTGATACTCAGACTATTTATTTTAAAGTATTTACATATTTAGATATTGCACGTTAGAACAACACTCTGTTTACACTAACCTTCTGTCAGCTACGGCAGTGTTATAAAGAAGGATATTCATAAGTTTGATTTTATAATTCTTAATGTAGCGTTTTTACATTTTTCAAATTCTTGTACACTCTATATTCTGTTCATTTCGTAAGAAACTTAAACACATTCTGTTCAAGTTTTGTTTTAAATTTCAGAAACTAAGATATTTTTAACAGATGATTAGCCACTTTTTAGCATAATAGTATTAATAAAATAAATACTACGAAAATAGTGAGTGTGCCATAGTAAGCAATACATTTTGAAAATCTGAAGATTTAGGCTTTACCACCTGGATACAGTATTACTGTCATATATTGTTGTTTATTTTTCTTGTTTATTCGGTAAGAAAACACATTTCCAACTATACATATGAAATTTTAGTTCTGACTTGCATATGACCAAAACATCCAATATTGCATCAATATCAGGCTGCTTAGTGATAGACTTCACTTTCAATTATGAGCAGCATTCCACATTCAGTGCACACCCCTGCCAGTCAACAGTTGGCAGTAATTTAAAACAAAATTGGTCATGAAAATGGTAATTAGTTTGAAAAACTGTCAAATATAGCTTGAAACCTTAAATGAGGTATCTTATTTATCCACAGCTATTATCACTGGTCTTATTTCCCTTATTTGGTGTCATATTATTGGATTAATCACATTTATATTTTTGTTTTGACAATCATAATAACAGCTATCACCATCATGGCCTGTTGTGTTATTTGTGTAAGCATGCTTCTAATTATTCATTCAACTAATCAAATAAGTTGTAACATCAAGCTATTCAGTGTAACTGGCCTATAAGAATCTACGTTTTATAAAAAGAATATTGTGTGGTCAGGAAGTGTGAACTTTTTGTTTTCCCCATAAACAACCGAGGAAGTGATGAGTTTAATTACAATGAACATCTCACATTGGACTACAGATAATTTCATATCATTGAAAAAAACCTTGGCTGTCAAACTACTGAATTGGCTTGTAAGGGGTTGAAAAATTTTATTACAAACTCAAGTTATGACCAGCTTTTCATGTACTCAAGATGAGAAGAAAGTAGAGATTAACTATTCATAAATTGTACTTCAGTTTGTATTTTTGTTTAATTTCGTTGATGGAATCAATAAAAAAAGAGCAATAAAATTAAAAACTGAAATTAACATAGATTTGTTATACTTGTAATAAAAATTAATTATTTTGATGTGCACTGTCTTTAGCTCGTGTTTATTTGTTCTCATGTTTGAATTACGCACTAGATTTGACAATTAAATATTCTGTCCCAAAATGGTTATAAACTAAAAATGACCAGGATGATCACTCTCATTAAAGATTCTAAGTCATGTTTCACACACTAAGCCACCATACTTAATATAATATTGCTATCAGTAATTTTTTTTAGTTATTACAATAAATCACTAATGCTGAAATTACTGGTTCCAACACTACAGAATTTACAT